GGAGTCCTCGGGGCTGCTCCTCTCGCCCCCAGCCACCCCTGCCCCAATGTTTCCCCCCTCCCACATCCCCTGCTCCTTTTAACTCCCCAAAGTAACGGCAAAACCTGGATGCGGAGGAGCAAGAAGCCTCTGTTGGAAGAGGCAGCGCAAAGCGTGGGGGGACACACAGTGTGTTTTCCACGCGCTGGTGGCTGCAGGAGCCAGGCAAAGCCGGTCCCGAGGCGTAGGAGAGACTGTTAAAACACCGGCCGCCTTTAAACGCTTGGCGCCACGCGTTCCCCACCCCTCCCGGGGGTCCGCTCCTCCGTTTTTAGGGGCCTGGGAAGGATCCTCCCCCAACCGACGCTGTGAACGGAACCATTTTCTGACTGCAAATAATCTCTCCAGGCAGGCCGAGGCGCTTCACCTGGCAGAAGATCATGGCCTGGCCGATGGTGACGCTGCCGTAGATGTTGCAGAGGGCTCTGTACTTCTCCTCCCTGCTCCTGCAGACGAAGAAGTACTGCCTGATGTTGCTGAGGGTGAGCTCTTCCTCGCGCAGCTTTATCACGATGGGGTTGGAGACGATTTGCACGGCGAAAGCCCGTACAGATTCCTTGAAGGTGGCCGAGAACAGCAGCATCTGGCAGCCCTTGGGTAAAGCCCTGGAGGGGAGAAAAAGGATTTGTCAGTCCCGGAGAGCAGCCTGGAGCCCAGATGTAGTCACCAGAAGGAAAATAAAAAAAAAAAAGCTGATTTAAGCTGATTTTCTGTCACCTTCCAGAGAAAGCAAGCCTAAGGGCTCAAAGGAGAGGGAAGGGAGATAAAAGCCTTCCTGTGTGTCTCATGGATGTGGTTTTACAGAAAGCCGGGTCCCTGGACTCACGTTTCCCCTCTGGCGTCACAGGGACACACCCTCTCACTGCCAATTCGGTGACGCATTCCCTCAAAGCTGAGCAAAGAAGAGGAAAAAAACAGGGAAATGGGACGGCAGCCAGCGGGAACGCTCACCTCTGAATGCGAATGCTTTGATAGGAGAGGCCCTGGGAGTCGATCATGATGTCGGCCTCGTCCAGCACGAACATGTTGATCTTCTTCACGTCCACGACCCTCCGTTTGAAACACCAGTCCAGCATCGTCCCCGGCGTCCCGATGACGATCTGCTCCTCCAGTGCGGCGCCCTGCAGAACTGTGAGGGGGGAAATGGCAGCCGACCAACCCCCAAACACAACGCGTTCCTGCCGCTCGAGCGCGATTTTTTCCCCTCGGTTACGTCAGAGTCCAGCCACCCGGCAATGCCTTTGAGGGGATCATCGCAAAGCCGAGCTCGAGATTAAAATCGCACGGCCCTGGAGGGGTGGAAACCAGCCCCACGTGGGAAGGGGGGAGCCTGGAAGCAGCCAGCAGCAGTTTAAAGGCCCCTTAGCAGGAGAGGGGAATACAGACACCATTTTATGTGCCCTCACGGAGCTCTGTGCAGCTCCCAGTAACTCAAGGCTGCACGAGAGGATCCCTACGCTCGTTAACGCTCCCGTTCCAGTGCCGGCAGCTCACCTCGGTTTCCCCGGACGGCGTAGGTAACCTTGATGTTGGCGCAAAAGCGCCCGATGGTCTCGATCACGCGCCCAATCTGCAGGGCCAGCTCATAGGTGGGAGCCAGGCAGAGGCACTTGAGGGGGAGAGAAGAGAAACGCCTCGTCGATTAAAAGCCAAGGGCGCTCCCGGGATGGGATATGCACAGGGATGGGAAAGAATTGCACAGGGAAAATCCCACGCCGCTAAATTCCCTCAAAAGCGGAGGGGCATCATCAGGGCATTGGTCACAGGTGGAGGTTAGGGAGCTGGGGATGCAGCACAGCTCTGGGGACAGAGGCAGAAAGATGTTGCTGTAGCTACTCTTGAGGGGGAAATTTGTCTCGTGAAGCACACTGCAGTTCATTTCCGTGCCCAGCTTTGAAACAACCACTTAAATTGCCCCGTACACTTGAGATGGGAGGCTTTAAGTAACAGCAACCAGCTCGCAGAGCTGATTCCGCATGTGGAGAGGTGACTGGGGCTCGCAGGGGTGTTTAAGCCTCCAGAAAGCCAGCCCTCGCTGCAGCTGCTTTTCAAAATTTAAATCCCAGGATATCTAAAGCCTGGTTTAAACCGCTGCTAGCCAGTAAAAGTACTTCCCTTTAGCGGGCACCACACTTTCTGTCCTACCTGCTGCTCTGACAGTTCCTGGGGGGGGGTTTATCGTCCCCCTTCAGTGGACAAAATCATAAAGAGACAGGGACAAAAACCTCAGGGCAGCGTCTCAAGGGCTTGGGCAAACCCCTCCAGCATCAGCTTTCCCTTTCCTACGTTACCTGTGGGTATTTCTCAGCAGCATTAACTCTGCTCAGCATCGCCAAGACAAAAGCTGCCGTTTTCCCTGTCCCTGACTGGCTCTGGGCAATCAGATTTTGGGGCCTGCAAGGCAAAGGCTGCTTAGCAGAACGCAAGGGTTGGGTGTCCCCAGATCAGCGTCCCAACGCCGGGGATGCCGCGAGGGAGCCAGGGCTCACCCGCACAGCGTTACTACTCACGGGTACGCCAGCATGATTGGCAGAGCCGTCTCCTGGATTTTGGAGGGTCTGTTGAAGCCCATGATGTAAATCCCCTGCAGAAGCTCTTTCTTCCTGTTAAA